CCTAGGGATGCCAATTGTGTTGCATATTGTTTATTCGGGGTCTGCATTTTGGGCAGGGGCAAATATGTCCTTTCTCATCTCTAATTAGAGTAGTTCACTGAAGCTAGATGGTTATTTTTAATATGTGGCATTTTGTCTAGATATAGAGCAAACATGTGGCATATAATCAATTACAAAGTAAAATAGGGCATTTGGCCCGGACTCAACAAATGTGGGGCATATGATCAAATTGGCCCATGCTAAAACAATCTCACCATGGCAAATTGAGCGTAGCTCAAATGGTTAGCTCCCATGTGGTGGAAGGCCCCACCATGGTACAAGTCATAGACTTGGCACTGGTGTTAGGATTTTCCTAGATTTATTTCAGGCTTTTCAACGATATTTGTTTTGTGGGAGAAGAGGTTCCCGTCGACTACGAAGGCTTCTGTCAATCTTAAGGGTGACTGTAAGTGTGTGTGTAAACATTTGCATTTGTAACGTGTTAAAGAAAACTAAGAGTGTCTCCCGCAAAAAACAAAAACAAAAACTAACAAGGAACAGTTGGTACAAATCGATCACACCCTCACCTCATCCTCATGGCTGTTGAGCACAACAAGTTAAGCCAAACTGGAACTCGTGTTCCTTAGCGGCCGCTGCCCCCAGCCCGACCCACGTGCGCCAATATTCTAACACGAACGATCTTCCAAAAAATATTCCAACACAAACTATACTAACACTAATTTTTTTTTAAACAAGCGTACATCCTACCGCGATCTTTGCATCGCCCGATTGTCTCTGGCGTATACGTGCTACGTATACACGCACCCGCGTTTCTTTAATCCCGCGGGCAAAAATCAATGATGACAACCGGACCAGCTCACTGGAACCAGCCACGCCAGACAGCAGTACAAACTTTGGCAGCAGCGAACGAACGAGCGGCCATCACGCAAAAATGCGTACGCATTTCGGCGGTTGTTTACAGCCAATTCCAAGAAAGCGGCGGCCGCGCAGCGCAGAATACTCCTATTTTTGGGGCAGAAAATAATGACTTGGTACACTCCCCTAAAAAGTAGGGGGGAAATTGTTTGGTAGAGCCAGGTGGCAGTCGGCCTGCCTGCCTGGCGGGCTGGCTGACTGGTGACTGACTGACTGGCTGGCTGGCTGGCCTCCGTGCTCCAATGATTGGCGGAGCTGCCTAAATTAGCTCCCTGGACGTCGAGAGGGCCTTTTGGCAGGAGACGGGCGGCCTGGATGACGAAAGAAGGGAGCGGGCCGGTTTCACCGCCCGGATTCAGCCCGTTTCTACAGGAGTCAACGCCGCCGCAAACGGCCACCAAGATTCCGTGAGGAGGCATCTTTTTTACCGGCAGCGTGGCCGGGCTAGGGGCACGCACACAAAGAGCCACCCTTCTTTGCACCGCACGGAAAGCACGAGGAAGAAAGAAAAAAACTTGTGCTCACAATCTGAGATTTCGATTTCGGTTTTTATCTTGATGGCGTATCACGATCAAATCCAATGGATTCTAATTTAATTACTTCCTCAGTTTCTAAATACAAGTCCTTTTATAGAGATTCTAATATGAACAACATACGGAGCAAAATGAGTGAACCTACACTCTAAACTACGTCTATATACGTTCATATGTGATTCATATTGAAATCTTTAGAAAGATTTATATTTACGGACGAAGGGAGCGCATGCACAATCTTCACAATCAATGAAATTGTGATATCCAGCACGTATATACTTCCAAAAAAGGTTGTATGCGCCAGCTTTGAGTACATTGATTGCAAATTAGTGAGTATCCAATTCAATCACTGATTACCTCGCAAAGAAAAAAAATCACTGATTCACAGCGAAGGTTTTTTTGCACACAATACATCAATGGTAATCATGGTGTTCGTTTTTTTTAGTTTGCGCCTTATTCATTCATCCCGTAACGACTTGAATGTGTTATAGTACTAGGTGAGTATGCATTTTACATGTCTTGTGTACTTTTATCGCAAATAAGTTCCAATGGATGTACACCTAGCACAACAATGCACCCCCCCAAATGAAAATAGAAAGAAAGAAGCCCAACGCCGACAACGAAAGAAACTTGTGATCAAATTAGTAAGTGTCTACGTTAATGATAAAAAAATCGTGCGAAAGTACATCAACGGTAATTGTGGTATTCTTTTGTAAAAGTTCGCGCCATATTCGTTTATCCCATAACGACTAGATTGCATCATAGTATTAAGTGAATTTATATTTACATATCTTATTATGTACTCCTCTTCTTCTAAGGTTCTAGTGTGTCCCTAGCATGACAAATAGATCCTCTCCAAAAATTTCAAAAAAAACTTGACCATCTGTCAATGAAAAAAAGAAACCTAACATATGTTCTCGTGGGTTTTATTCAATGGATTATATTTAATTACTTTGTAGCACATGGGCAATGATCACGCTCGATGAAATTGTGATATCCTACACATATACGCTTCCGGAAAACGATTTATGCTTCAACTCATGTACATTGATTAAAAATGAAATGAGCAATTAGTGAGAATCTACGTTAACGGCAATATTTTTTGCGCGCGAAAGTGCGTCAACGGTAACCAGGGTATACGCTTCCGAAAAAGGTTTATGCTCGAACTCGTGTACATTGATTACAAATGACACAAGCAATTAGTGAATATCTACATTAACGACAATATTTTTTCGCGCGCGAAAGTGCGTCAACGGTAACCAGGGTACTTGTTTTTTAAAGTTCGCGCCATCTTCATCTATCCCATAACAACTCATGGTATCCATTTATTTTTGAAAAGTTGGCGCGCCATATTCATCTATCCATAACAACTCATGGCATTCCTTATTTTTCAAAAGTTCGCGCCATATTCATTTTTGAAAAGCACCCGATGAATTTATATTTTACATATCTCATGTACATTTTCCCTCTTTTTTTTGGGGGAGGGCATGTACATTTTCCCTTCAAACCATTTATCTTGGGTGTACCTAGCACAACAATAAACCCTCTCCAAATTCCAACCGAAAATAAAAAGAAAGAAACCCAACACCGTTGAAGGAGGAAAATTTACAGGGGTGGAAACCGTCTGTGATTTTCAGCGACAAATACTGCAGGGAGAGAGAATCCAAAGCCCTCCTTTGGGTTTGTCTCTTCCCCTCTCTCCGCCCCCTTCTCCCCACCCACCCCGCCCCGCTCTCCCCCCCTCTGCGGGTGTGTTGTGGAGGGGAGGAGGAGCAAGAACCACGAGCTGCTGCTGCTGCCGCTGCTGCTGCCAACGCTGCACAGCCTGGGCTCGCCGATCATTGATTGCGCATCTATTACCTTCCTCTTATGTGCTAAACAATCCCATCTATCCCTTATAAATATCCTCCTGGTCCTTGCCAATCCCTCCTCACTTCTAGATTTCCGGGCCTCAGGATTGCCCCTCCCTACCGTAGCTTTGCTAAGTAGTTGCTTCTTCTTCTTGGTTTCTTTTCTTGATTGCTTTGGGTCTCCGATTTTTTGGGTCCTCGGTTTCTTGGTCCTCCCCTGAATCTTGTAGAGTCTGTTCCTTTCGCCGCCGGTAGCCATGGACGACAGGATTCCGCCGCCGTCTCACCTGCAGCAGTACTCGCAGTCCCCTGTCCATTCTTCGCCTCATCACCACCACCTCAATTCCATGAGGTACTCTGCCTCCTCTGAGAGAGAAAGGTGGGGCTCCTGCTTTGCTATTCCTGTTCTTGTTTCTTCCGGTCGAGTTTTTGTTTTTCGTTTTTTGATCCAGCCACCTCGGAATCTTCCGTCAAGCACGAGATTTGATGCGGCCGGCGGAGATTCCTGCCTGGTTCCGGCCTTCTTCGAGTGCTGAGATTGTGATGGAGGAGTGATCTGTGGAGATAGGGATTTAGATGATTGCTCCTCGTTGATAGATTTATTTTTTTAGCCTGTTGATGTAAAAATTCGTCTGTAATAATTTGGTCATTTATTGATAGACGTGTGTACAATTTTACATCTTGCTGGATCTTGTTGTATAAATCTAATCAAAAGTTCTAGTTTTTTTACATCGTTTTGGTCTGCCTTCTGGTTATTTTAGATGCTTCAAATCATGATTGTACTTCCTGTCATATCGTATTAATCTCTCATGTGAACAACAGAGTTCGAGTGACCTGTGTTATCCTAATGTGCTTGTTTCTTCGGCAGGTATCTGGCTGAGTTGCTTGCTGAGAGGCAGAAGTTAGGCCCATTCATTCAAGTTCTTCCCTACTGCACCAGGCTCTTGAACCAAGGTTTATTTTTCTTTCAGTCACTACTGTGATTCTTCCTGTTTATATGGTCTTTAGCAGTGTAGATACTATGTGTTGTTCATGATGCAGTCAATCATTCACTCACTATCACTCATAGCTATGCTTAGTTCAATCTGTTTTACCCTGAATCTGTTAGGTTATGGACTGTTAGCAATGGTTATAACTTGCTATGACAATTTGATGACCTGATATATCTTTGTCGATGTATGATGCTCTTCCTGTCCAAAAATATTGGTAATGTTATCATTTATTAGTCGGTCGGGCAAGTTAAACCAGATCTCCCGTTAATACATTTCTCATATACCCTATGATCTAATATACTGGTAACTTGTCCAGTTCTTGGCCATAAATAACTTTGCCCTCCCAACTCTGTTTCGTAATTGGCTTCACACTTTGGAATTTGATGTTTTTTATATCGACAACAAATATCTATTAAGAATGGTTGCCATGTAGCTTATTCCTATTCTTACTGTGAAAGTCTCTACTTGCTGCGATAATAAGGCATTTGACGTATTTGTAAATATAACGCCTACTGCCCCCAATTTAGTGCAGGGCAAGGGTATTACTCTCATCATTGTACTATCATATACTGAAAAACATTTCACTCACTGCCTCATCATTACCATGTTTGTTTAATGCAGAGATTTTGCGGGCATCTTCTTTGCCACCTAACCATAATTTTGTTGATGCTGAGAGAATTGAGCATGGTAGCCCGTTAAGGTTACCTGGCCACCCAGTGAATGGTCAACCAATGGATCTGGAGGGATGGTCAGGAAGGCAAGCAGAGGTAATGCAGATTCAAGCAATCGCTGATTACCGTTGAGATTGAATTGCTATGTTGTAATTTCATTTATAGGATGGCTACCCTGATAAAATGAAAAGATTTTGCATGGATTGTGGATATTTTATGCATACCATGTAGTCAGTTTTAACCTTGCACTAGTTTTCTGGAATGTAATGTACCGCAGTACCAGTATAGTATCATTGAAAATGCAGTCCCATTATTACCTGACTTATGTTAATGACAGATGCATATGATTTCTCCATTTTGACTCATCTGTTCCTTGCAACTAACAAAGGACCCCTTTGTTATTTATAATGTTGCCTTGTAGTTACTTGATCCAGATTTAACCCTTGCAACTATTTTTGCAAGGACCCAGTTTCTTTATATTGGATCTTGCTTATGTTAGGAAGTTATCTTAATTTATTCTATGGAGAAAATATCATTGAAAATGCAGCCCCACCATTACCTGACTTATGTTAGTGGCAGATGAATATTATTTGTCCATTTTGACTCATCTGTTCCTTGCAACTAACAAAGAATCACTTTGTTATTTATAATATTGCCTTGTAGTTACTTGATCCAGATTTAACCCTTGCAACTAATTTTGTCAAGGACACAGTTTCTTTATATTGGATCTTGCTTATCTTAGGAAGTTATCTTTAATTTATTTTATGGAGAAAATATTGTCTCTTTTTTCAGCATATGGGGGTTCTGCAAGCATCACCAATGAGCTGGAATGGTGCTCCAGCACTTGGTGGTACTCCTGTTGTCAAGAAACTTGTGAGGCTAGATGTTCCTGTGGACAAGTATCCTAACGTAAGAATGCATTACTTTAGGGTTTTCTATCACTTTATTAATGTGCTGTGTCTTGTCATGAATGATTTACACTCTTTTGTCCATTGCTAGTTCAACTTTGTTGGCCGTCTATTGGGGCCACGAGGAAACTCCCTGAAAAGAGTTGAAGCTACGACTCAATGCAGAGTTTACATTCGTGGGCGTGGATCAGTTAAAGACTCTGTGAAGGTAACTGAGCACACTATCATGTATTGTTCTCCAGTTCCTGATTTTAGCAGCGCTAAACCATTGGACAGTTTTAGGATGTATACCATGTGTTACTGTCATAGTTAATTTAAGAGATTCTTTTCCCTGGTTGAATTGGCTAATATATTTAATCGCTAATACCATAAACAACTGAACCTTTAGTCTGGCCTAATTGACATGCAATGATTGCCAACTTATTTTAGGACTAGTAACACTGTCGGATTCTCATTGAGACATCTATTTAGAACTTACTATCACGTAGCCCGCACCTCCGGATATTTCATCATTCAAATTTTATTACTGTACATACTTACTGCTACTTGCTTATTCTGAGAACTGAGCACTAGCTCAGTGGCTGGAGTTCGCAGTGGCCCACCCGCGTTCCAGCACTTGCTCATTCTAGTTGTTTATCTACTAGGGCCTCTAGGTTAATGACATTGTGAGATGACATGGTCTACGTTTCGAATATATAGTTTAACTGCAGTGAGTACTGACTAGTGACTGCTGTAAAAACATTCTTTTATCGGTGGGTGGTGGCTTATGTCACTAGTACTCTAGCTTTCTGTTCCCCTTAGCCTTCATTGTTTGGATATTGTCTGGATCCTGGTGATATATGTACATTCTATCTATCAATAGTATGATTCAGTAAACTGACCCTGTAACTTAACTGTTTAAGGTTTTGATGCTAGTCTGCTGTATATAAGTTTCTTTAGATGCACTTATAAGCTTTTCAAATTTGATATCTTATTGCTCTGATGCAAACAAGCTTTTGAAATAATATCAGCCTTGATCTTTAGTTATAGGCTTTGACATTGGACTTCTCTTTTATTTACCTGTTGCATAATAAGATCATTGAATTCTTGATACATGTAATATGTATATATATAGGCTTTTGTAGATGCAAATGTAGGCTTTTCAAATCTGATAGTAGCATCTTATTGCTCTGATGCAAACATCATTTCAGTATTATGGTGTTACCCTTGGACATGAAATACCTCGCTCTTTAGTTATAGACTTTGACATTGGGCTTTTCTTGTATTTATCTGTTGCATAATAAGATCATTGAATTCTTGATACATGTACTATGTAATGTTTTTCTTCATTTCTGTTTTCCCGTACCCCCTAGCGATATGAATGAATTAATGAGTATATCATTACTGTAATATAGGAAGAGAAGCTGAGAGATAAGCCTGGATATGAGCACCTCAATGAGGCACTGCACGTGCTTGTGGAAGCAGAGTTCCCAGCAGACATTATTGATGTGCGTCTAAACCAAGCTGTGACCATCCTGGAAGATCTTCTCAAACCAATGGTAAGAACATTTGTTTCCTGTTTCGCTCCCATTTGTCTCCACGATTTCGACATGCCCTTTCTAACCAGTGCTGTCATTGATCAGGATGAGTCCATGGACTACTACAAGAAGCAGCAGCTGAGAGAGCTGGCCATCCTGAATGGCACTCTGAGGGAGGAAAGCCCCAGCCCCCACCTTAGCCCGAGCGTGTCCCCCTTTAACTCCGCCGGGATGAAGCGTCCGAAAACGGGGCGGTGATCTAAAAAGACTTGGTCTGTCTGAATCTGATGACAAGGGTGGAGATGATTGGTGTTGCATTTGCCGGGATGATGAGTGCTGGCCTATGCCTGTCATGATCTGCGTGCTTTACCAACCGTATGATGGGTCCGTGGGCGAATGATGATCCTCGGTGGGCTTGATTGATGTTTGACGCTGTTCCTATTATTTATTCTTTCTGTGCAATCTGACTTTGGAAAAAATGACATTGTTTATTGGTTTGGGGTAAGTTAACAAGGCCAGGTGGCCATCCAAGTGTCGGACAATAATCAGCCAGGTATTGTGTGCCTGGAAAAAATAGCTGTAATATGATATTGTCATGTGCTGGTGCTTTTGTGTGCTAGTAGTGGTAGTACTAGACAGGCAGGCAGACAGGCTCTGTTAATGATTGATTTGCATTCATAATTTCCCTTTCCTTGTCTCCCTTTGGCGTGTTGCCTAAGTACCAACCTAGGTTTTAGGCTTTAGGTAGTAGTGCCCTTTTTGTCTAAGTAGCAGTATCGAAATTGGATGGTCAGTATCAAGTACTGTAGGATCATAGTGTCGTAAGGTACTTGTGATGCATATGGGAATATTGACAAACATGATAGGAAAAATTTCTCCTGCTAGAAAATATTATCCAAGCAAACTTGTCTAACTTTGTAGGTTACCATCCACAATATCCAAGTAGTTTAGCCTGCCTCTCTGATTTGAAGGATTTCTAGAGGATTAGGATCCATGGGATTTTTTCTTCTTATATTGTTTGTTTGATTCCTAGGACTGAATCCTATGGGAACTTTTCCCAAGGATTACCTTACACTAAAGTTTTCAGTTAAAAAAAACCATAGGAATTTTAGTGTCCAGTCCAACCTTTTAGCCTTCTTTGGTTCGTAGGACAGGAATATCTTAGAGATAGAAAACTTGTCTAACTTTTTAGGTTACCATTCACAATATCCAAGTAGTTATCCGTTGAGAGTCTCTTTGATTTGAAGATTTTTCAAAGGAATTCTAGAGGATTCGGATTCATGGGATTTTTTCTTCTTATATTGGTTGTTTGATTCATAGGATTGAATTCCATGGGAACTTTTCCCAAGGATTATTTTGCACTAAATTTCATCGGTATTTTAGTATCCAGTCCAACCTCTTTAGACCTCCTTTGATTTATAGGAATTTTATAGAAATTCTATAGGGTAGGATCCTACAAGGAATTTTCCTTTGGTGTTCTTTGGTTTGTAGGGTTGGATTCCTATTCCTATTAGGATTGGTTCCTGTCCTTTTCATTTCAAAGGGAAACAAACATTGGCTCGGGCCTAATGAAAAAATTCCTATCCTATGAAGCAAATGACATATCTTTTCGTATAGAAATTGGCATCTCATTTTCTATGACTTTCTTATTCTTATGATATTTCTATCATTTGAACCAAAGGAGGCCTTAAAAGATTCCTTTTGTTTTCCCCGTGGCGCAATCAAACAAGCAAAAATACTGTAGGATTCAAATTCCTAATCCTACACTTTATTTATTTATTTCAAATTCCTACATTTTTAGAATCTTGCTAGTCAAAGAGACCCGTGTACATTTTGGAACCCTTTGGGCGGGTTGCATGTTACCATGTTCCAAATGATGGCATGCAAACCTGAATACTCCCACCACATGTTTTGACCGTGGCAGGTAGTAGGTTGTGACTCATGTCATGTGCACGGTGGCAGCC